CTTGCCTCCTCAGAAGCAGTGTAGGCCTTAGGCCACTTGCCTTCAGATATTTTCGTAAGGTAATCGGCCCGATCACGTACCCGTGGCAGGTCCGAGGCATTCACCCCTGAGTTTCGCAATCTGTTGAGCTGCGAAATTGCCACACCTGCCACAGAACCGAATCCCCAGCCCTGTGTGAAACTTAGGTAGATGACTACTGTGAGCCCATCCCCCACATATGTGCACCCGACGCCCATGGGGGAGATCATACATTACGCCATCGATATGCCGCAGTGGAAAACAAGGCGAATCCAGCCAGGAGCGACGAGCAGCCTGAGAGGTGGAGCCCCTACACTGCAGACGGGCAGTGCTTTTTTTTCTGAAAGAACACGCTGGGTGGAAAACGCTGCACACACCTTGGGAGCAGGAGGCCTGGGTCCAGGGTGCCAAGCTCGGGCTCTTTGGGGCTCCACAAGGGAAAGGGCCTGCTCAGCCTTCAGAGTCTGAAGGGTACTTAAGAGGATCTTCATGCGAACCAAGTACTCCTGATGCTCGCAATTCTGCAGACATTTGCTCGTACGCCTGCCAGATGGTCTGCAATGGTACTGCCGACTGCAATTCGAGACGTTGAGCGGCCAGCAACTATATCCTGGCATGTTGATGAGAATGCACGAACATGACGCAGCATTGTATCGCGCTATGACTCTTCAGTTCCTGCCCGATGGCGTACCACAGGTCACCGTCCTCTCCGTCTGGGTTCTGTGGCCTGCCTGCGTGCCAACCTCCGCACACGTTCGCGTTGCCTGTGGCATATCTGTGTGCCCGTCAGCTCCACCTGTGGCGGTGAGGAGGGCAGAGAGTTCGCCTCGCCTCTGGCCACGGCCTGACGGTGGCCAGGCAAGCACCACTCCCCTCCCCTCCACATGTCCTTGGAGATCTGCATGGGTTCGCGCACAGCATCGAAGACGGCACGCCCGACCCCCACCCTGCGAAGGCGAGGGTCGTGGGTGTCCATGCCCACGCTCGCATCGCCGAAGATGCAGGTCGGGGCGGCCTCGCCGCCGCATCCGCGGATCCCCTGCACGACGCCATTGCAGCCACACTAGTAGGTGTGACGTTCCTCCTCGGCTTGTGGCGGCGGTGCACGCGCCCACTCTGCAGGGATCAAGCCCCGCAGCCAGCAGCATGGCTCGGACTCGTGCTGCGCCTGAGCCTTCGGCAGCAGCTCATCACTCATGTCGCAGATGGGGTGTCGGCAGCAGATGGGGCGCGGCCTCCGCCCAGAGCAGGCACCCCAGCATCCGTGGGAGCTGCCCCACGGGCGGCCACGCCGCTCCGGCAGCCGCCGCCAGCAGGAGGCCTGCCAGTCTGGCCCCGTGGGGGGTCGTCCCTCAGCTGCTGCAGCAGGATGCGGTACGACAGGTTGCACACGCCGTGCTGCATGCCTTCGCCGTCGAAGTGCTTGGCAGCCTCAAGCCACTGACGGGCCTGGATCGTGCCCCCGAACTCGCCAAGGAAATCCTTGGGCACGCCGAGTGCCCGAAGGCCAGTGAGCCTGTCGAGGTCGAACCCCCAGGCGTCGCACTTGCTGTCCTCAGCGACTGGTAGCTGCCAAGTGGCGGGCCCGATAGGAGCCCCGCCTGCCTGCAGCAAGTAGCACACCGCGGCGGACTGCGGCCCACGGATGTGCCTGCTCCTCCGTGGCGGTGCAGCGTTTTGCATCTGTTGCACCACGCCGTCCCAGGTGCGCGTCACGCTTGCACGCATGGCTGGTTCTGACATCCAACATCTCAACCACAATTGGAGGCCCCCCCTTGGCATCTTCGGCGCTGGAGCCCGACCAGGCGCACACAGGTCGAGGAGTGTGGTGCAACAACGGCCAGAGAGCCTCGGGACAACCGCTTCGCACATGCATGGCCTCGTAGTCTGCAGCCGCCTGCCAAACACGCCGTGCAGCTGATGTCCGCAGGATCCAGCTGCCGGCGCCCCCTGCTGCTCCGATTTCGCCGTGGGCCCGTACCTGCGAGCTCTTGTCCGCGATAGTCGAACCGCGCTGCTGCGTCTGCTCGAAAACCGCGATGAGACATTTGGCTAAGAACCGCACAACAGCCTTGCGTTACCCGCGCACGACCCGATTCAGATCATCCATCCACAGCCTGTGTGAGAACCCCACATGGGTAGTGGCGATCTGCTGCATGATGAAATGCCTTACTATCTTCGCGAACCTTGTCCTTGATGCGAGCCCCTGCGCCGCCGACCTGGTCGGGGAGAACGCCGCCGAACATGCGCCCGACTGCCGCAGGCACCTTGGGGCCATGCACAGCTCCAGCCCCAGCGCCTCGGCTGGGAAGCCCAAGCGAAGGGCAGCGAGCCCCATCCGCAGCCCGAGTCGCAGAACTGGGCGATGCCCGGCAACCCGTGGCCGTGGGCGGCGCCCAAGCGGCCCGCCAGCTCCTCGTCCACCACCCTGAGGAACGCCTCCTGGATGGCGGCGTTCCCCTTGGTCGCCGCGTCCCACGGTGCCTCGCACCCCTCGCTCCAGCGCAGCACCCAGGGCTCCCGCGACTTGGACCAAAGGCGCGAGATGTAGGGCAGGATGCCGATGGCCGTGTCGCCCGCGATCTTCTTGGGCAACAGGGCGCCTATTGTCAGCAACAGCTGACGCGGCCACGCATTCAGGATCACCGCCAGCTCGTCGAGCGCGACGATGGGGGGGCGGTCGAGGTTCGCAGCCGTGAGCCTGTCCACGCCCATGGCTGCGTGGGGCTCGAGCGACCTATCCGCCCCCTTGATCTGGCGCCCCGTCAGGTCGGGAAGCCGCTCCTCCTGGACGCCTCTCGCGGATTCGGGCGAGCAGACCATGCATTTCCTCGACGCTCTCTTGCCGCGGTGGGCTCCAAACCTTCTCCCAGTGGAGCTTCTTCGCGACCAGGTTATCCGTGGGGTGCTGGATGGTGGATGTCTCTCTTGCTCGAGCACAGCAGGCGCGAGCGGCTGCTCCTTAATTAGTCGACCGACGCAGACAAGTAGCAGCGACCTGCGTCTCCAGCCACGCACTGAACTCAGCAATGGATAGATTCACAGCGCGAGCTTGACTCCGCCCAGCCGCCCTTTCACTCTGGCGTGCCGCTGTGTGCAGCCGTGCGTCATCGCATAATTAGCTTGATGTATGCATGTGTGCTCCACCATTCCTGCCGAGAGAACTGACCCCCTGGTCTGATGCACCCATGCCCCTGCTCAGGGGCTGACTCTCTCAAACTCAAAGCTGCGGCCGCCAGCGCACCCTGCTGCTTGTCCCCATGGCGACGAAGACGATGGCGCCGATGTTGTGACACAACTGCGTGGACTCCGAGTCCACCGCCCACCTGATGCAGTCCCTCAACGCGGCGACGCGTGCCGGCGTAGCCTCCAGAACCACATCGGTGCGAAACTTGGGTTAGTCCGCTCTCGAACTCCCAAGGGGGGCCTGGGAATGAAGTACCGAAATGGAGCTTTCAAGGGTGCGGACCCAACCAGCTCAGAGCCCGCTGGCTACATCGCAATGGCTAGAGCCGACCCGAAAGGCTACGGAGGCAACAGCAACATCTTCAGGGGGGGGTGGGCCCCCGACGGGACGAAGCCGATGCCACTCCTTTGTTCCTTCCAGGCACCTTCTTCCATGGCGAAAGGGACGGCTGAACAACTTGCTAACGAATCTGGTGGCTCGGCTTGCTGCATCGATGCACCCTGGCTGACTCCATCGGCTGTATGGGCTGTGTGCGCACTCGCTGGTTCACACCTTTCAAACCCAGGCTGCTCTGTAGACAAAGACCCACTAACTTGGACTGGCGCCTCTGAGGAAGGTGGCCCCCTGGGCTTCGAGTCGGGGCGGGTGGGTTCAGGGCTCTTACCTCGACTGTCTGACTGAAGCGAAAGAGAGGATTCACTAGGCGCAGGCGGCAGGATGAAACCGAATTTGGGCTCGTCGGCCCACGGGTCTTCGTCCTCGGGGCGGGGGCGACACGACGCCTCTGCTAGCATCCTCAACCTTCTGGATGGTAGCTGGAAGCCATTCCCGAATTTTGCCGTGCTTACGCATGCGAGCTGCTTGCTTACAAATCCTACTCTGAGCCTTAGATATGCTACTCCTGGATTCCTCGACAGGCTGCTTATAAGGCCTGGGGACAGACGTCAGCCTCGACGGGAGATCAAACTACCTAGTATAAAGCAGGGACCCCTGGGCAATCAACTCAAGCGAGAGGCCTACATGGGGCTTCCAGGGCACATCAACCACAGCAGCGAGATTCCGAATATACGGTGTTGTTGCCTCTGAGCAAACGACATAATCAACCCTGACCTTCCTGGAGGGCTACAACATAGCACCAGGATGTCGACGTCCTGATTCCTGTCGAAGTTTGAGGCAGTCCAGATAGATCTACAGGTCTCGAGTGGTACTCTCAAGCACTCTGGAAGGTTAGGGAAGGTGCGATGGCCGATGCAGGAGGGAGTCCCCCTCCGGACTTACCTCCTCTTCCTAGCAACATCCACCCGATTGACCCGATGTCAAGATGGCGAGCAGGAATAAGACCAAAGAGTTGGGCATAAGATGCCGAATCTCGAACGAAGTCTTGAATTTCGAGAACATCATTTCCAACCGGGGCCTCTCCCTCCTCCTCCTCCTCCTCCTCCTCGTCCTCCTCCTCATCCTCCTCGTCCTCCCTCCTCCTCCTCCTCCTCCTCGTCTCCTCCTCCTCCTCCTCTCCTCCTCCTCCTCCTCCCTCCTCATCCTCCTTCTCCTCCTCCTCTCCTCCTCCTCCTCCTCCTCCTCCTCCTCCTCCTCCTCCTCCTCCCCTCACCCTTCCCCCCTCCCCCCTCCTCCTCTCCTCCTCCTCCTCTCTCCCTCCTCCTCCTCCTCCTCCTCCTCCTCCTCCCTCCTCCTCCTGGACCAGTGGGGGGAGGGAGGCCCCGCGGCCCGAGCCCCAGGCGCGGCCCCTGGCCGGGGCTGCCCCGGCGGCGCCCGCCGCGGCCGCGGCGGCGGTCGCGGCGGCGAGCCGCAGGCGGCGGCAGGCGGCCCCGCGGCGGCAGCGCCCGCGGGGGCGGGAGGTCCACGCGCAGGCGGCCGGGGTCGACTGCGCGGGAGAGCGGCGCTTCGCTCTGGACGCCCGAAGTGGGTGCGGAAATGATGGGTACAATGCCCAGCAGCAGCTCCTGTTCATTTTGAACAGGGTTCGCTGTCCACGCCGCCGCGGCCCGTGTCCATTCGAGACAGAAGGCCGCCTGCCCAACAGCGGCCGCTGTCGGTTTGGGACACCACTTGTTGTTGGGCATTGTGCCCATTCTTTCCGTACCCATTTCGGGCGTCCAATCTCGCCGGAGTGACCTTTTCTGGTGCGGGCTCACCGGGGCCCCCCCGACTGCTGAGCGCGGTGCGCTGATGGCTGCCTGTGCGCGCTTGGATTCGGCCACCCAGCGCCCCCTTCATCCGCGCACTGAAGGTCACTCTTGCCCAGGTTCATTCTTGCGTTCGTCGGGGGTCTCAGTTGGCCTTGGAAACGACACGGCCGTTTCTTTGTCGTCTCCGTTTTTCCGTCTCGTTGCCGGTTCCAGCGCAGTTGTTTGCCGGTTTCGTTGCCGTTTGTTTGTTGGTTCCGATTCCAGTTTCAATCCTTGAGCCGTTGTTCGTCCTTCCATTTTCAAGAGACCCCTTACGGGGCCAGTGAAGAAGCGGAAGTGTCGTTTCCGAGACCAGTCAAGGCGGGGGGGGACCTCAGGGGCAATGTTTGGGGTGATAGGTTCAGGGGGGCGTTTTTGTCGCCTGATCTTCTCGGCGGTTTTCCAGCCTCGGGGTGCTCTGCAGCAGCTGTGCCTCGCCGAGAGCGTTCTGGGGGCTTCCCAGATCCACCCGAACGTCTGCTGGAGACCCGTGCTATGACCCCAACACCAGACGACGACTGGGGCAATTTCAGGGAGGGAGGGGGGGGGGGGGAAATAGGGGAACAAGAAGTGACATAAACATAAGAGCTCGGAGGTCCGCGCAGATTTCTCGGATCGGCGCCGGGAATCCCCGGCGGCGCCTCCAGCGGCGCCCCCCAGCGCGCTCCGCGCGCCAGGGACGGGAGTCCAGCGCCGATCCGAGAAATCCGCGCGGCGGACCTCCGCGTTTGTATGTTTATGCCACTCCTTGTTCCCCTATTTCCACCCCCTCTCCTCCTTCTTCTCCTTATCCTCCTCCTCCTCCTCCTCCTCTTCCTTCCCCCCTATCCTCCTCCTCCTCCTCCTCCCTCCTCCTCCTCCTCCCTCCTCCTTCCTCCTCTTCTTCCTCCTCCTCCCTCCCCAAAGTTGCCCCAGTCGTCGTCTGGGGCAATTTTGGGGAGGGAGGGGGGGGGGGACAGGCTCACGGGGGACGCATCGACCCCCGATCGCCCCATCGTCGCCGATGGGGGGCCCGACAGCCCGCCCCGCCCGATGGAGCGTGCGGCCGCTCCATCGGGCGTCTATCGCCGGCCTCTCGGCGACGCATCGCCAGGGGTTCGTCGCCGATGCTCCCCCCCCGCCCCGAAGCAGTCTCGCAGTCTCCTCCACGGTCCCCCCTCGGGGGGTGGGGGGGGGCACCTCCTCTGTCGCTCGTCCTCTCCCCTCTCCGTGTGGGTGCTCTCGGCGTGCCTCGAGAGGAGGAGGAGGAGGAGGGGGCGGAGCCTCTTGCCCGGCGTGGTTGCGGCGCTGGGAGGCGATGCGCCCATGTTTTTGTTCGTTGCATCGTGATCCCAGATGATCCTTCCTCCACCCCTCCTCCTTCCTCATTCCTCGTCCCTCCTCGTGTCCTTTCCTCCTGCCTCATCCTTCGCTTCTCGTTTCTTACTCCTCCGCCTTCCTCCTTTCTCTCCTCTTCTTCCTCCTCCTCCTCCTGCTGCTCCTCCTCCTCCTCCTCCTTATCTGTCTTCCTTACCCTTCCTCTCCTCCCTTCATCCTCCTCTTTTGTCCTCCTCTTGCCTAACCGTTTCGCTTCGCTTCCACTCCCTTTTACATCACTCCACCTCCTCCATCCATCCCTCATCCTCCTTCCCTCCTTCCCTCTTCTGTCCCTCTCTCTTCTTCCCCTCCCTCCCCTTTTCCTCCCTCCCTTACCCCTTCTCCTCACCGCACTCATCCCACCTCCCTCTTCCTCACTCTTTCATCCTCCCCCGTTCCTCCTTCCTCCCTTTCCCTTCCCCCTCCCCATTTCCTTCTCATCTGCTCCTCCTTCCTCGCTTCCCTCATCCTTCATTCCTCGCTCTCTCATGTTCCTTCCCCCTCGTCCTTCCCTCCCTTCCCTCCCTCCCTCCTCTTCCGTCCCTCCCCCCTACTCCCTCTCCTCTCACTTCTCTGCCTCTCCTCCCGAATTCCAGAGGCCTCCGGGGGGCCTGAAAGACAGGCTTGGGGTCGAGAAAGACAGACTGTGGGACCAAACCGATAAGTGCAGAGACGGGCGATGGTCGAAGGGATCGGTAGACTGGAACCTTGAAATTGTCCGACTGACCGGGCACCCCCGTAAGCGCTAGCAACATGTGTTGTTCCAGGAGGTGAGCGAGCACAGCGCCTTCTCAGGCTCGAGCGCGGGACATCCCCCTCCGCGATTCTTGCGCCTGCTCCTGCTTCTCCGCCTCCTCCTCGTCCTTCCCCCCCTCGCACCCCTTGTGTCGCCGTCCTCCTGATCCTCCCCCCACCTTCTCCTGACCTCCTTCCCCCCCCCTCCCGTCGTTCTCTTCCTCCTGCAGCCTCCCCCCCGCCCACCCCTTGTGTCGCCGTCCTCCTGATCCTCCCCCACCTTCTCCTGACCTCCTTCCCCCTCCCGTCGTTCTCTTCCTCCTGCAGCCTCCCCCCCCCCACCCCTTGTCGCCGTCCTCCTGATCCTCCCCCCACCTTCTCCTGACCTCCTTCCCCCCCCCCCCTCCCGTCGTTCTCTTCCTCCTGCTGTGACTGGAACCCGTATAATACCCTCATATATACTCTTTATCCTTACCTTTCCTGCGCCTGGCCGTTTGGGCTCAGGTATTGAGATAGATCGATCAGACCTTGATCGTGCGGGAGGGAAAGATATCCATCTATCCCTCCTTCTCTCTACCAACGGATCAGGGGTTCTGTACCCTTGTACTTCAACCCCATACACAGGTTATCAGCCCTTTGACGCTCACCCTCACCGACTCGTCCGCGGTGACCTCGCATGCGAGCCTGATGGAGCCACTTCGGCGCATGCGCCGCAAGGGTTCCATCGGGGCCTCGCGTCCGAGCTCTCCCACGGCACGACGGCTCGGTGACGAGTTGGAGAGCATTAGTGCGGACCGTGTTGGTGTTCCCGATACCCCCCCCCCAGCTCCGAAGGACCCGAGGCGCGACTAGCTGCTGAACTTCACCGCAGCGCCGCCCGCGGGGGGACAGGAGAAGGAGTAGGAACAGGAAGGAAGGAGTTTCACACGCCGACCTTCGATCCTCCCTCCCCTTCCCCGTCGGGAGCAATCCCAACCGCGTCAGGCGAAAGCCTTACTGGTCTCGATACTCCAGGGCGCTTTCGCGCTAACCGCCGATGGACCTCAGGCGCTGGGACCCCCAGCCCTGCGACCGTCCCTGTGGCGGAGCACGTAGCCACCTTCGAGGAACTCAGTAGACCAGTGTCGGCGCAGCCGCAGACGCGGTACCCCAAGGTATCATCGGATGAGACACCACACACATGGTCCGAGTCGCAGCTCGTCCGCGCGCAACCGCCGTGGAGCCCCAGGCCCATGCGGCGAAAGTAGGTCGAGCCCGCGCACTGCCTCTCAGAGGCCATGCACTCCCCGCGACAGGGGACACAGGGAAGCTGACGCTCCCCACCTCTCCATCTCAGACGGCCAGCTGGCGGAGACGTCCGCCGCAGGTGACATAGCTGAGCTCAGAGACCAGGTTGAAACCTTCGTGTCCAGGCAATACTCTGGACTACTACAGAGCGTTCAGACGAACGCCGCCGATACTGCAGCCATACGACGCGATCTTGACGGCGCCATAGGGATCATTGATTCCAGGATCGCCGAAGATCGACGCATCATAGGAGAACTGCAGTACCAGGTTGATCGTGAGGTGTCACACTCAGGTGAACGAACGGCGATGGTCGAGAACCTGCGCAACTACCTCGCGCAGATGGAGCAACAGCTTGTGCTCGTACGCGACACAGGCGTTTCAGCAGTCAGGATTTTACATGACGAGATCCACGACCAGCTCCGCAACCGACCAATCCCAGCCGAGGCCACAGACCTTGGCGACGTTCAGTCTCACATCAATGATCTTCGATCTCATTTAGATCACACTACGGCGATGCTTCGCACCGAAGCACGCACCAACTCGTCGAACCTGATCGACATGTTGCAGCGTACTGAGAGAGTCATCACTCAAAGGCTTGATGCGACCAACGCTGTCGTGCAGCCACTCGCTAACCGGATCTCTGACATCGAGCAGCGTTTCCCTGGTGTACAGGACGCCCTGGCAGAGTTGCGTGTCGGACGAGCCCAGACTGGCCAGCTGGATTCTCCTCCCACGGTTTACGATTTCGCCCGCCTCACTGACAGGTTGCAGGAGGTTCAGAAGGCGGCGGACCACACGCAGTTGGAGCTCTCCCAGGTTATTCAGGAAAGGGATACTGAGAAGGTACGTGTAGAGAGTCACCTCGCACGTCTGGAAAGCGAGATGGAGGCACAAAGCGCCCGTCTCCGAGCACACGAGCAACGACTTGATCGGCATTCACAACGTTCTCGGGATATTGATGAATATACACGCCAAAAGGTGGCATAAATACACGAAGACATGACGAGCTGGACGAATCAGCTGATCGACCACACCAACGACACCAACCTCCACCTTCGACCTGCAGCCGACCTGCACAGGCCAACGACAGCGTCCGCCGAAGCACCACAAGCTTCTGCAGGACAACAACGACGTACGTCACCAGGAGCAGCCTCTGCGGCAGTTTCTGCGTAGACACGCCATGTGTCTCCTGCGCGCACAGAACCAACTACCGACGGTGCACCGATACCCTCACAAACCATTGTCTGCGGTGTCGGTCCATACAACGACTCCTATTAAGGAGTCAGACACCGTCCGAGTCCCTG